CGCTGCAGGTAGCCTGGTGCAGCTCCTCCCAGCAGAGAAAGATCGAGTACGCAGTGTTGAGTCAGTTTTAAGACCGGGAATGGGGTTTTTTTCTGTTGTTGTTGGTTGGGGTTTTTTTTTTGGGGGGGAGGAAGTAAATTTTTTTTTTTCAATGAAAGCACTCTAAATGGAAAAAAGGAATATGAAAAAGAAGCTATTAAAAATAAAACATCCATAAATATCATCCCAGCAGTAGAAGATGCATTCACTACTTGTGGTATTTAGATTTGAGATACTATTTAGTTGTTTGTTTTTTGCAAAAACGAATTCATCATGAACCCTTGAAGAGAGGAAGTAACTTTCAGGTCGCAGCAGAGGGCCCAGGGCTGAAACACGGCAATGAACACAGCGAGGTGTGATGGCAACAGCTGACGACATTTTATCAGGAGTCTTCAACTGCCTGTAGCCTTTTGGAAGTGCCTGTTGGCTCTTGCTAGCATAAGGAAAGCCATCTGGTATTCAATATTCTGTTTATACCCTCTTGACCAGAGCACGCTCCCTTTCTCGCATGCACCCAACCTCGGTGATCTCTGCTGAGCAGATTTGCAAATTCACAGCACAGCTGAGGTTTGGCCCTTTGTGGAAACTGCAACAGACCAACGCCGGTGACATACCCTGGGCAGGAACTACCCGTGGCTCTTCCCAAGTCCCTCACAGCTCCCAACAGCCCCAGCCCGGCCAGCCCACAGCTCTTCTGTGGTGTGGGGCTCAGACCCCCGGCCTGTTTTGGGGTGCAGTGGCTGGGGGGGGCTGAGGCCGGGTGGGAGGCAGCCGTGGTGGACTTCACCCACCGCACCCCAGGCTGTCCCCTCTGGCAGTGTCTCTGCTGACTCCTCACCAGCAGGCATCTTGATGTTACAATAACCTGAAATTGTGCCAAAGGTCCTTTTTTTTGCTTTTTTTTTCCCCACGATCAACATAGATGAGGAGTACTCCGGGTAAGGTTGCAGCTCTGTAGGATAATCAGTCCTTACATTCTGAGGAGACCTGTGCTGACATAATCCATCATGTTTAGGACCACTCTGCTATCCCGGCTCATCTTGCTGTGATCCTCTATTCAGAGAGGAAAGGAACAGCTTTTACTAGTGAAAAGTTTATCTTAGCAAATAGATAATTTTCTGCTACTAAGTGTAAAAGGAAGTACCTAGGTGCAATGCAAAGAAGAGGTGTAAAGTGAAGAACTCACCAGGGCAGGTACGTTTGGAGACACCTGTAAAACAGTTCCCCCTTAGCTGAGGCGATAAGTTCACATGTTCACATCTGTTCCTGCACCATTGCTCTAATCCCAGCCATGTGTGAGCGGGGCGGAAGGACTCCTGCTTCTGTGGGACTGCTGCGGGGTGTCCTCCACCGGCCCGCCTGGGGCTGCTGCAAGTCGAAGGAGTGAAACTTGACGGGTGCAGAAGGGAACCCAACCTCTGACGAAGCCTGACCCGTCACTTCCCTTACGAGCTGCGTTTTAGGCCTGTGCTTCAGGAACTCAGTGAATTTCAGCGGAGACATACGAGTAGCAAGAAACAATCTGTGCAAAACAGAAGCACGGCTTTGGATTGCTTCCTTCTGAAGAGGAGCCTGGGATCATGCCGCACTGACATCAGGGTGACTACCAGCAGAATTTGGCTCACTGGGTATTTCTGAGCGTGGACAGTCATCCACACTTCAGTGAACTATTAAAAGAATGTACCATTGATCCTATTTGTGTTGATTGAGAAGTTGTCTGTGGTAATTTCACGATTATGCCGCTTCTAATGTTTCTGCTGTGTTTGAAATATCATTATCTTCATAATTCTTCCCCCCTCCCCGCATACTTTCATTCTTTTTGTAAACAGTAGCTATGTCATCAGTATCATCCTGTTTTACTGTCACGAAAGATATCCAGTCTAACAGCTCTTCTTGCATTTCATAACGAATGGCACAATTAAGACTTAATTATATGCATACGAGTAAGGAAATGGCATGCCACCCAGGACCTTAAATGTAGTATCATTCAATTGCTCAAGTGCAGCATCCTGGGGAAAAAAAAAAAAGCAAACAAAAAAACCTCCAGAAACTTATTTCAAGCTGGATCTTTTCAGACTAGCATGATTGCCTACCGACAATTAACTGTTTTCTAGTCATGATTCTAAAAAGATAAGGTACCTTTTTTTTTTCACCCCAGCAAAAATTCTGACAGGTGCATGGAAATGACATTTCTCTGTGCGTTGGATTGGTAGAGAGTATTATACGCAAACACTTAAGGTCTAAGCAAAGATCATATGGCACTCTCTATGATTTCTCAAGTTATTGCAGTGTTGTACGCTTGCAGAAAACAAAAACCTTCAAACAAAGACGTGGAGATGTTTTCCCTCTTCAGAAGCGTGATGGTGCTAAACAGGGAAGAGGGTTACCTGATGGATGGCCAGTGTCGGTGTTCTCCTTAGATCGGGTTAGAAACGGGAACATTAATACTGGCTTTCTGGCTCACCATCTCAGGTCACTTCTGATACCTTAGCCTCGGGGACAGGGCAGTGCCCAAGACTCCTCCATGCAGCTTGTTCTGGCTGAGGTGGCCTGAGTATCCACCAGAGGCTACAACAGCCACAGGCTTCAGGTGGCTGCGAAGAAATGCAGATACATCCTGGGCAGGTCTCTGTGGACAGCGGTGGTCAGAAAAGTGACCTCTGATCCCTGGAGGATGGTGGGTGGGTGTTCAGCCCCCCCCCAAATGAACCACCTAGCCCAAAGGAGGAGTTGGATGAACAAGGTGGCATCTAATTCTGATTAAAGCTTACTCTGATGTGGAGGAGGTTCATGATTCTCCAAAGCGAGAACGTGGTGGTTTGGATTAGGGTAAGTAAACCCTCTGCTCACAATTTGCCATCTAATTGACCAAGACAAACCCACTGCAGATCCTGGTCAAGCTGGCCAGTCAGAGAGAGTAAATCTAGCCAACGGCTCTTTGGAAGTCCCCACTACTATTAGTGCTTCCTCGTTTCACTTGGTAATTTCAGGAAATCAACCTGAATTTGCAGAGGGTCCCTAAAAAAGCGTTCTGTATGAGGCACTGTCACCTGTTTCCTGTAAGTCTAAAATGCCTGAAGTTTCAGTTGGCGATAGCAGTTTCTTGTACTCGCCTAGAGAACGATGCTCCTGAGTGTGCCTGACTTCCCCTGATTCCCAAGTAGCCGACGCAGCGTTATTGCTCCCCAGTACTCATGTCTGCAAGACAGGATTTGGCACCTGATTTGCAAAGCCATGGATAAATATTGGGGTTCTTCTGAATTAAAGACTGAAATAATTGCAAATCAGCTGCTTTTTTTCCGCTGACTTGTTATTAAGTTCGTTCTTTGTGGTTGAGTGCAGATGTGACTCTGTCTTCTTCCACTGAGTGAAAATGCTTTCGTATTCTTTGCTACACACAGAAAAATAATGCTCCAATAGGACTGTGCTATACAGGCACGGTGGCTCAGGCTGGTCAGAAATAGTGCAGCTAGGCAAGTATTTGTCAATCATTTTTAAACAAAGCTCACAGAATCTTTTGAAAATAATAATTGGCTCAGACCATTATACAGTATCGCCGGGATGATTTTCACTTGCAACTAACCAAAAACATGCCAACAGTTTATTTAACATATTTATTTCCTCACAAGCTAATTTTCTTGGGTGTGACGGAGATGTGTGTGTGCCCTTAATCTATTGCTTTTGTGCAGCTGCCTTCTTGACCGCCCTCTGATGCTCTGTGGAGCCTGGAAAACGGTCACTGAGTCGGGTGACCCACTGTCAGGCTTCAACTTCAGCCACGACCAGCACACGAGGGAGCCTGCGTCGGCCTGTGACTTAACAGGGACATGCAGGGCTGTAATGGAGATCGGGAATAAAGAAAAGTTTTCCATAGGCAGGGGATGGCTGTGCAAAGAAAACCGAGTAAGCTGATCCTTTGCCCACATCGAGCTTTGCTATCTTCATAACGAAATCAGCCACGATTGACAAAAGAAAAAGATTTCCATTTTCGCAACCCGAGAGACCCCTCTCCGTGGACAGCCCTCACACCTCCCTGCTCTCCCCGGCCCCTGTCTCAGGCGAGGAGCTCTCTGTCTCCTGGGCAGCAGTTTCGGCTCGGGGGGCAGAGCCCCTTCTCCCCTTTCCTCCTGCCCTCCGAGCCACTGCCTGCCCCGGTCTCCCTTCCCAAAGCCGTCCCACTCCCCAAGCACCCAGCCTCCCAGGCCTCCCTGACTTCTTTCCACCTTTATTCCTCACTTTCAGGATATTACTTAATACTCTGGCACTGCCTTGACATTTACAGCCTGTTCCTCCTTTTCCAGCCCTTTGGTTAAAAGGCTTTATGCAAGCCATCTTCCTCCGAAGATGACAAGAAAACATGAAAAAAGGGTTCGGTTCTCAGCTCACAGCAGTGTAAATCAGGAAAAAGAGTGCTGAAGACAGCAGGGAGACAAACAGAGAGGAAAACCAGGCTCACAGCTTCAAACCGCTCATTTTCCCCGGTTCGCGCTGCCATCTCCACAGATCCAGCAAGATGGCATAGGAAAAAAATATTCATTTGCTGTGTTCTGTTTCTTCTT